GGGCCCCCCATTTTTTTTGGGCCCCCCCCCCCCCCCCCCCCCCCGAGATGTAAAACCATGACGTACGCCACTGCTGTCCAGGGCTAGGAGGACAAAAAAAAAAAAACACGAGGGCCAATCCTGACCCCTCACCAAACGCCAGCCCTCCCGCCCCCCCTCACCAAAACCTCGCCCCGTCACCCTGTACAGCTGTGTTACCACCCGTTCCCGCCGGCCCACGCTCACCCCGCGCCGAAATCGTCGGCCTCGACCATCGCCGTCTTCAAGCCCCTCTTGGAAGCATCGAGGGCAACTGGACGGATAAGACAAGAGAGACTTTTTCGACAAGAGAACGCGCGAGCTATCTATCAAAGAAACAGTTAAACGCCTCGAAAGCGAACAATTGAGTAGTGCTGAGACGGCAAGGAGAATCACTTCGCAACGTGAAGTCATCCCCGGCAGTGAATCAATGCGTTTTGGAATGAATCGTAATCGTGCACACATGTGATGCATATCATGTACACACCACCCAAGTAAGTGGGCACATGGTCGTGGAGGACGAAATATGGGACACCCTCTTCGTGGGTGCATACAAACGGGGACGAAGAACCAGTGAGAGTGCTCACGACTTGGTCGAACGGAATGGTTGACGGCCGGTATACCATTTCTCGGAAAATTCCTTGGCAACCTAGCGCTAACCGTGCACAGCAACCTAGCTTTTACCCCTCTTCCGCCGTGGCTGGCCGCGGCCTAGGCTTACTTCGTACAGTGACCTAGCGCTTACCAGTGTATAGCTTTGGGTCGGGCTATTTGTGTTGGGGTTTTAGGAATGTGCCTACATGCTAGGTTTGGAGCGGTGAACAAAAAAAAGGAGCAGCGGACCGGGTTGGAACCTGGAACCAGTAGTTTCGAAAAGAAGTGTTCTATCCATCGCTCCTTTGCCATCCGCGGCCGCCCCCCGGCGGTGCCCCTGGCTATATACTGCAACTCTAGCCGTCGTTGTATTCAGGAAGGTTCCAGGAAGATTCCCGTCAACATTTGCGTTCGACCAAGTCGTTGACACCCCTCGGCGTTGACCAACTGGCGGTGACTCCGCCATATTCTTTGGTGGTGGGCCATGTCTGTCTGTCTGCTCTCGGTAGGCTGGCTTGACTCACCCCCTGACCCCACGCAGCCTCCCCCGATGACCAGGACGTCGAAGACCTCCTCCTTGAGAGCCTTGATCTGGTCCTCTCGGGTGGGAGCCAGCGTACGGCTTCACCTCCGTGCCGTCCCTGCGGTTGCCCCCCCCCCCCCCCCCCGACACAAAAACGCCCGCACGCACTCGGTCAGTGGTTGGAGATGATTGGTACGCACACCAACGGTAGGGTTTCTTTCTCGCGCCCGCAGCATGTGAATTTACATCAAGCGTGTTTTTTTTTTTGCTGTCGCGGCGACGTTGACTTTTGTCTCGATTTTTTGGGGGGGGAAAACAATATGTAGTCGAAGAATATCTCTAGTTTGTACGTCTTTAGCTTGATACTCGTATAACACAACAAAATCAGTAGCCGTCTCTCAAATAAAGATTTTTTTTTGTAGGCACCTCCAAGTGCGCACGTTTGTTGGTCCCCTACACAGGTACAGCAGCGGGCATCCACGTCCTCTCGCATGCGGATGGAAACTCACTCCCGGCGCGCTTTCCGCTGTTCGCTGACTGGAAGTGTGATCACTGGTCCGTCAGCCAGCGCATTCGGTGCCGACACGACCCATTCATTCGTCTGGAGGCCGCGCAGCAGGTGGCCTTGAAACTGATAGCGGGGACGAAATACTCGGGCGCGAACACTTTTTTGCGTCATCGTCGCAGAAAGCCGTAAACCGGGATTTGCTCACGTCGCTCCGCCATCTCGACGGCGAGATGAGGAACGACGTGAGCAAAATCCCTGATTGCGGATCTCTGCCATGACAACCCAGAAAGTACTCGGGTCGAAGTGGATCGACGCCGCGATCAGCTTCAAGGCCACCTACTTCGTGCCTGCAGACGACTTCTTGCAGATTATTGCTTTTTGTCCAACGCCTTCTCATCGGCCACCGGCGGATAGCGCGGTCGATGAAAATACAACAAAAAAACCACACACACACACACACACAAATGGTAGCGACAACAAGGAGGATAATGGTGAAAGTACTCCTAAACGAACTCGAGTACAAGGATATAGCCTTGGTAGACGATTGCAGTTTTCTTCTGTTGCCACCGTTTCTGTCTTTGATCCGAAGGATAGTTTAGCCTCCCCCATGCTGCCCCCTCACGGGGTCCCAGTTCATGGCAGATACAAGCGTTTTGTGTTTTCAACTGCACTAAGACTGACGTCTTTTCATTGGTCAGCCGGTTAGCGCGGTCGATGCTAGTAACAAAAGACACACACAAACAGATACACACACACACACACACACAGGCATAACGCGTCCAATGCTACCGATAGATGTCGCAGAGAGCCGCGAAGGGGGGGAGGGGGAAGCCATCCCAAACACTGCGCCAAGAATCCCGCACACCTCGCAACAGACACGTGACTGACGGACGGCAGCGTTCTTACCTGCACTTGATGGTAGCAGCCTCGACTTTTCTTTCCTTGGCGTACACTCTGGCATGCCCCACACGGTATGCAAAAAAAAAACGTGGAGGGGGGGGGGAGGGTCGACAATGGATTAGCGGTACTTGTGCGTTGTTATTGCTGCTGCTGTTGTTGTTGTTGTTATTGTTGTTGTGTTGACGTTAAAAACCACCCCGGTGTATGCTCAGAATGCTCAGAATAACATCCGTATCGGTACAACTGACGATGACGCCTCGCGTGGTCACAGACCAACTACCCAGAAGCCGGCATGTTCGCGAAACGAGGAGACGTGAAGGAAGAGGCGGAGTGTGTGTGTGGGGGGGATGAGGGTCGTCCGAGTATTGGCTCTGTGTGCAGGGGGGTGTTTCACCAACTGCTGCTGTGTTTCCGTAGCAGTAGCCTTCGCGAAGGATACTTGTGTGTCCGGATACTATTTTATACTATTAGCAATATCCTTGCGAGGGTATTATGCTAGGCATATTGTAGGGGTATGGGGTGTTGTTGGGGGTTGGGGTTAGGGATAGGAACACGACACCCGCCCTCTCTATTTTCATGTACCACACGAATGAAAAAAAATAAATCCTGGAGAAGGCGGCCCTTCCGTACAATAGTAGAAGCGGAGGCCCTGATGCAGAATTGCCCTTAACCACGTCCGACCTCAACAACACCCGTCGCCCCTCCCCTCTCGCCTTTCTCCCGTCACAGAATATGCACTCGACGGCGAGGAGGGAGGGGGGCATGCTGCCTCGCGGCTCGGCACCTCTGTTGCCATCGTGTCTATCAGAGTAGAGTCTGGGATAGAACATGCTATAACAGAGTCTTGGCTCCGACATGCGCCGGTGGTGTGACAAAGGCCCCAGCAGACCCTCTTATCGCGGAGCCCCCTCTTGTACCTGGAATAAGAGGGTACTCAACTATGCTATAAGAGGGTCGAGTTCACGACAACCGATTTCGACCCTCTTTTATCTTATGTCGGAACCCCCTCTTAAAAAGGTATGTACTTCCCTCTTATGATCGAAGCCACGACTGCTGTAGCAATGAATCTCGCGTCCGAAGTTGAAGGTTGTTAGATATACTCGTAGCATAGTAAATGTGGTTGAATATGGGGCATGGATCTACGGAGATTGCAGTTGGTAGATTGCGGAGGAACAGGGAGTTTCTGCTTGGTTTCTTCGGAGATTCGATGAGTGATCTGAATTGCGTGACGGATAGGTGTGGTGACGCTCTCTTCGGTTGCTCACTCTCTTTTGTTCTCTGCTGTTCCCTCTTCCCTCTAATACAAGACTTTCCCATCTCGGCCCTCACCGGCCGAGTAGCCTTTCTCCACAAACCTACAAGCTTCGGCCTACCCGGTTTATCCAACACGCTAGCGTTAACGACTTTGTCGAGGGTGATTGGGTAGCACCGATGGGCAGCCGCATGCGCGGCTGACGACATCCAACCAGACGAAGAGGCCAACAGCGGCGAGGGCCTGCACAGCAGCAGCACCCACAAGACCTACAGCAGCGCTCCCAAGACCTACAGCAGCGCCATCGTTAGCTGAAGCCCGCCGTCTACTGGGCTTGTAGGCATGAACAGGCACGTGATGACTTGTCAGTTTTCGACTGCTGTCGTTATGTGTACACACACCCATCCATGCGGTGATGCGGTACGCCTACCTACATAGTGCCGTCAGATTCTAAACGCGGGATTACGCCGTGCGGTACTGCCGTCAAACACCAACGCTTACTCCAACTCCACCTCCACCCGGTACTGCCGTCAAACTCTCTCTCCAACTCTTTCTCTAGAATAATCGCGGCAACACGCTGCGCGGTAAAGCCGTCAAACACCAACACTTGCTCAATCAAAACGCGACAAAACGTCGTGCGGTACAGCCGTCAAACTCCACCGCTCGGTCAAAGGCCGACTACCTGTAGCAAATGGGTAGACACAATCCAGGTTACCAGTAATCCTCAAAAACTGATGCCAGTTTCTAAACTGATGATATTGTGTGTGCGTGTAGCATGGTATTAGAAATAGTATTGTGCGCATTGTAATGCAGTGATTGGCGAGGTTTTGTGCTTTGTCTTCCTGACAGCCGTGCTGAGACCAACTTTCTCTCGCCGGCAACAACGTGATCAACGTTTTATCTGGGCTCTTTTTGGTGGCTACTTTTTGAGCAACAGGTTTAGCCTGATCAAAAATTCGTGATCAACGTTTTATCTGGACTTTCTTTCGGTAGCAGGTTTAACCTGATCAAAAACTTTTCATGTCTTGGTTGTGTTAGCGAGTACCACAGACGTGTGAAGTCTCAGCGACGTGCAACATTGATTGGTACATCCACCTTGTTGCAGATTAAAAATCCACAATATTGACGAAATAAATGCTGATTTCCGAATATTGTTATACGTTGTCTTGAGGTTGCTATTTGTTATGAGATTGCGATTCCAAAGTTGTGAAAGTTTCGACTTAGGATTGATTACCCTTTGTTTGGAACAGGAGCAGCGGCTGAATTATGATTTTGTGATAGAGGACTAATCAACCTCCGTTTCAGGGTGATATTCAGGTATCTATGTATTGAATTGCAATGTCGCAGTGATCGGTAATTTCAGACAAACATTGCACAAGTAGGGTCCGACGACTTGAAAGTGTATTTCATTTATTGTTTTTTCTGCTGCAGTCACTACTGTGCAGAACCGGGGGGAATGTTGGTAGTATGTGATTCTCTTCAGTAGTGCTGGTTTGTTCGGAACTAATCTGCCGCCATCTTCCCCTCCAAACGCGCGACCTGCCCTGCACCACCGCCGAGTCAATCCTCCGGGAGCGACAAATGTTCTTCCCCCACTTCAGGCGGACGCAAAGATCCAAGCTCGAGTCGCGGCCAGCCGGAAAAGATGAAAGACGGAAGGCGACCGCGGCGAAGGCGTGCGAAATATCCGCTGGGGGGAGAGAAACAATGGCTTGGGCAATGGGTTAGCGCTGGAGCTTGATGGGCCGGCAAATGTAGGAGTTTCGAGCGTTATTGTTTGGTATTGAATTGGAGGATTTTCGAGTGTTGATTGTTTTGGTATTGAATTGAAGGGTTTTCGAATGTTCTGTTTTGGTACTGGATTGGATTATATGTTTTGGCATTGAATTTGATTTGGTTTTGGTGTTCGTCGGGATTTATTTGCAGGAGGATTGTTTTTCTTGGGTTTCGACTGGATGAACATTAAATGTTGTTCTTTTGTTCTATGGTTCAGACTCCAACCCCTTCTAAACTCACGGGGGCGAAACTCCCAGAGCAGGGGGGCGCGTTGTTCCTTCGGAAGGAATTTACTTGTAGGTGGTACTACGTTTCTAGAGAGAAAAAATAGGAATACTCGCGTATTTTCTGCACAAATGATCTTGACGCTGAACGAATGTTTGAGCATGGATGTTGTTTGATCGGAAATGTGAGAGTAAAAAAAAGGATCCATACCATACCCAGCTGCGTTTTACCTGCAATATGGGCATGTTCATACTTACTTCTGTTTTTGCGAAATTTGTGTTGTCTTTGTAGGATTGGTAGACGGATGGATGGATGTACTGGAAGCACAACGAAGGCGAATTTCTACGAATTGATCCGTGTTTTCGAAAGTGAACGTAATGACGAGCGTCACAGATAGGTTTGGTTCGATGGATTGTTTAATGCTTCGGTTGTGCGGGGGATATTAGTACTTTGCGGGTGTCGTTGTACTGAGAAAGGATGGACCAGAAGAAGAGCGTTTTTCAGAGAAGGAATGAAGGCGATGAGACAAGACGTTGTGAGTTCAGGAAAATTTGCATCATCGAGTTCTTGGTTATTTGTGTGTCATGGAGGAGTAGGACCTACATTTTGGGTCGTAGATGGAATTATATTGACTTGCCGTGTCATTACGATGCATACGAGCAGGGGGGCTGTTAGATATACTCGTAGCATAGTAAATGTGGTTGAATATGGGGCATGGATCTACGGAGATTGCAGTTGGTAGATTGCGGAGGAACAGGGAGTTTCTGCTTGGTTTCTTCGGAGATTCGATGAGTGATCTGAATTGCGTGACGGATAGGTGTGGTGACGCTCTCTTCGGTTGCTCACTCTCTTTTGTTCTCTGCTGTTCCCTCTTCCCTCTAATACAAGACTTTCCCATCTTGGCCCTCACCGGCCGAGTAGCCTTTCTCCACAAACCTACAAGCTTCGGCCTACCCGGTTTATCCAACAAAGGTGCTCCTGCACCCCTCTTGTGTTTCTTGAAAACTTTCAAGAGCTTCCAAGGCCGCAAAAAGGCGCTTTTCTTGCGAAGGCGGGTACATGGATGCAACGGGCGCGAGGAGAACACAAGGAGAGAGCATACACTACACCAAAAGCACATCGCCCGTTAAGCGCAGTTGCCGTTACTCAACGCGTGCATGTACCGGTACACCCAAGTTGAATTGTCAAAGGTCCCGAGTGTACAAATAGCAAGTGCTTGTACATTGCGTTTTTGCAAGCTGCCACTCACAGAGGCAGAGTCGGTCGCAGCAGCGCTTTCCCCGGCCATGCGCCCCAACGTAACTCGAGAACACTCTACACAGAAGAAGGTCGACCGCTGGATTCACCAGCAAGTGTGTTTGCGTGCTGCTGATGGTGCTTTTCTCTGTTGCATAACGCGAGTCCTCATGAGGATGCACATGCGGGTTGGGCACCTCGAAACTCGAAACCCTTGTGTTTTCCTCGTTACTCCTGTGTACCCGGAGATGTTTTCTCGTCTTCTCACGATGGCAATCGTCGACACTTTGACCTTACCCGCCGTGCGACAGACACCGCCACCCACTTGCAAGCGAGAAAAAACGACGAGCTAGCGTGAGTGCACAGGCTGGTTACCCCAAAGGAGCAACGCGTGCTGTTGAATGCGTGCTGCAACGTTGTACAGGAACATCGACCAACTGCGGTGAAACAGCAGTATTGTGCCGACATCCTCGCGGCCGTACCCCATTACCATAGTTTCACCTGTTCTTCCGGCTCAGCACCTGGCCCGCGCCAAAGGCCACCACGAATCCAAGCATGCTGGAGCTCATCCTTTTCCGAATTCTCTCCCCCTCCCTGCCTAGCACTCCACACGCTATGCTGTGTCTGCTCCCTGGCCTGCTCCCGGGTCATGACCAACGGGAGACCCCGCGCAATAAAATATTGATCAATAGATACCCACGACGGAAGAATAAGGATTTTCCGGTGCTCCTATGGTGCGATGCGGTGCGTGGATCTGCCGCATCACACAGCCTGCACACGGCATAGCCCGACAAGTGACCCACAGCCTGCACCATGTCTATGATCTTCGATGAGTATGGGAGACCTTTTATTATCCTGCGGGAGCAACAGGCACAGGCTAGGATACGCGGAAAAGAAGCGCAGAAGGTGGGTGTTGCGTTTAGAGACGAGAACTTTTCAAAAATTAGCGGTCGATATCATCAGTTTTTTTTGGTTGGCAAGCAAGCGGCTGCTTGGTTTGTTTGTTCCTCTCTCCGCCCTGCCCGCCGTTCCCGGCAGCACAACGTAGCACGGGCACCCGAACCATGGCAACGCACCTTTGCGTCCTTGCGTTGCTCTTTCCTGTTGCCCTGAAAAAGCAAACCAATGATGGGCGTCAAATTTTCAACACTGCTCGCACAAAATCCGGAAGCAACCCCCCCCCCCCCCCCCCTTCTTCCTTAAAGCGGCAGCGAGGGAAATTCGGATCCCACATCCTCGAGGGGATGCGAAAGCCCGGGTCATTCCTGCCCTTGCTTGGGGGAAGGGTTGTCTCTACTAAAAAAAATTGAAGGGCCCCCCTTTTTTAGGGAGTTAAAAAAAAAGCCTTTGGGCGCACCACACCTTTGTCGAGGCGATTTTCTCGTGTTTTCCCGCCGATCTTGACTGGTGGTGTGCCCCTACTCTGCAACGCTACGACAATTATTTAGCAAAGAACAGCGTATTATATATGCATAGCTGCCAACTTGTACGAGCAGGCCTGCCCACCGAAAGGGGACCAAAGCCTAAACACACTGGCATTGGCATCTAGAAGGATCCTAGCAGCCGCACAGGCAACGGAAGCAAAGGAACGGGGGCATGGTACAACAAAGTCTCCATATCAGCATCCCCCGCTCCCTCTCGCAAATGATACTGAACTGATCGGGGCTGGCCATGTAACAGGGTTAGCTCTATTCATAGTGTACATCATATCAACGACGGGCTCCACGGGGCTGTTTCTTCAGCTCCTCTCCCACCGCAACCGCCCGGTGCCGTGTTGACCCCCCTAAACACGGCGCGAAACGGAGCTCTGCCCTTCTACTGCTGTTGTAGATATTCAATTCTGAAATATTTTCCGCTTCCAGAGGCTCATCTGCTACACAACCGCAACTACATAGTCTGCAGTACGGGTTGCCATGTACCACCAAAAAAAAATGGCACATCGTATATACCTGACACCCGATCGCTACTCTGCACTCAATCACACTGTAGCATTTTAAATCAACCTGTGGCGTTTGACCTTTCCGATATGTCGCGGGAATCGCTTACAACACCTTTCGGTGAATTCGACCTTGATTCCAAGGTCTTTCCCCCAAGAATCCCTCGTGCGTGAGGCCCACGTCCTCGATGCTATCGCCCCCGCTCCAGGGAGCCAAGACGTACAGTAGACCCCATTCACGAAGCGTTTTTTGGGGCCAGACTTGCAAGGCAATGTTGAAATTCACGGAGCGGTAGGTGATTTCCCCAACCCAACGCACTACACCCGGCAGCATGTTACCTAGTTTGTGTACGCCATGCATGGTACGCAGTGGGCACAGCTTTCGTCACCTTACGCAGGGCACCCTGGGCCGACAAGCCGGAGGACGCGTCCAGCATCGTCCGTATTTCCTTCCCCGCTCCGGGTTGTGGCATGACATCGTGCATGATTCGCCGGTATCTTCTGTATCTACTTCTCATGTCGTGACGTGGAAGTTACCACGCATGATCCTTTGCCATCACCCCCCCGGCAATGATCTGCTGATGGATACGGAGACATGGCCTGTATTTTGCTGCTGCTGCTGCTGCCGGTGGGTGAAGTTCGGCTTGTCAAACCTCTATCGCGCCGCCTAAACTGTGGCCTGAAATCGATTATTCCCCGACGCAGACAAACATCTTGGCGGCCCGAAGCGTGAGCAACATCCTCCGGTCCTCCCTGGGCCCCAAGGGGATGGATAAGATGCTCGTCAGCCCGGACGGCGACGTGACCATCAGCAACGACGGAGCCACCATCCTCGACAAGATGCAGGTCGAGCACCAGGTGTGTTGAGACCCGAGAAAGCGAGCGAGAAACAGAAGCAAAGAGAGGGAGAGAGACAGAGACAGAGACAGAGCGAGAAAGAGACACAGAAAGAGAGAGAAAAAGAGCGAGCGAGCGAGCGAGCGAGAGAGAGAGAGAGAGAGAGAGAGAGAGAGAGAGAGAGAGAGAGCCAGGGCAGGGTGGTGGATGTTGTTCTCGAAGCTTGGGGCAACGGTAAGGGTGACGTGGCTGCCAGAAGGTTCGCGAGGTTGCATCCTGGGTTGTCTCGTGAGGGATGCAAAGTGCTCCCGCCCTTACGCAGGCCTCAAAAAAGTAATACATATAGCTTGCCACAATAGACAGCCACACGGCCCAGTCGATGAAAGGTTCATGGTCAACGCTTGTTTCTGGCCTGTGTCGCTCTGGAAAAACCATTGCGTGTTGGTGAACCCACTGCGCCACCCCGTATAACCGGCAAGTAGGTCTAAACTGCCCCCCTCCCTTCCCCCCCCCTCTCACCGGCCCTCTTCCTCACTATTCAGGTAGCGCGATTGCTGGTGGAGCTCTCTCAGTCACAAGACGATGAGATCGGGGACGGAACTACTGGCGTGGTGGTAATGGCGGGGGCGTTGCTGGAGCAGGTAAGACATCCAACATGTGCCAGAGTGGAAGCTACGTGTCGAGGACGGAGCTAGGCGAGAGATTGAGAGAGAAAGGGAAAGGGGGGGGGGGGGGTGCTCATGTAGACGCACGCCGTAGTCGTTAGACCATTGACCTCGCATCCGTACAAGGCCGGGACGGAGCGGTATACCGGGTTTTCGCCGGCCCAGGCTACGTCTCACAGGGATGACCCGGAAGAAGAGAAGAGGTGGGGGTGGAAAAAAATGGCTCCTTGCCGGTGCTGTTTCACCCGGTAAACACCCTCTTTTCCCTCAAAAACAAACACCGCCCATTTTCCGTCCAAAAAATCCGCAACTTGTTTTTGTAAATGAACCAACTCTTCCCCTCCTCCTGGGACTATCGCTGTGTCCACATCACCCGGGCACGACGATTTTTTTCTTGGTAAACCCCCCCCGTGTGTGTGACCCTTGTGACCATGGGAAGGGGGCGGTGAACCCTGCCCGGCCAAAACTGCTTCATTTGTAAAACGGGTGAGGACGTTGCTGCCCGCCCTGCTCTGCAAGGTGCTTGTCTTCGTGTGTGTGTGTTTCCGCCGCCCCATACACCTACCCCCCCCCCCCCCCCCGACAACAAGGAATATCTAACTTTTGTCTCGCTTCGATATGGTAATCCGACAGGCGGAAAAACTGCTGGACAGGGGGATCCACCCCGTGCGCATAGGGGAAGGCTTCGACCGCGCGTGCCAGACTGCGGTGGAGCACTTGGAGAAGATCGCGGACGCCGTGGAATTCTCCAGGGACAACACCGAGGTTAGCTGATACCTGGTAGTATTCTACATTCAAAGCAAAAGTTCGGAGAAAATTCCCTCTCTCTCTGCCTTTGTAGATCCCAACACCGGGGTCAGTTAGACGAAAAAAACGTGGTAGATTCGAAGCAGCAGTTCGGAGAGTTGCCCTCTCCCTCTGCATGAGTACATTCCCCATCGTACTCTTTGCCCCCTGTACCCTCTCGTTGTCTCATGGTTGCACCTCTGTCAACGAACGCCCCTCTTGCAACGCGTGTGTGCGTGTGTAATTCCAGCCGCTGGTGACGACCGCGATGACGACGCTGAGCTCCAAGATCATCAACGTCCACAAGCAGAAGATGGCCAAGATTGCCGTGGACGCGGTCATGGCTGTGGCTAACCTAGAGAGGAACGACGTCAACTTCGACATGATCAAGGTACAGACAGGTTGCTACCGCTGGCGTGTTGTTGTTTTTGTTGTTGTTGTTGTTTTTGTTGTGGTTGTTTGGTGGCACGCGCATCAAAACCGCCCCGACCCCTTTTGAAGTACCATACCTTCGTGCTATCCCGACCTGCACCAAGTACCCAACCCTTTTTTCCGAGTTGGTTTGTTTTCCATCCATTTTCGGGGTACAGTATGTCGCGCGCTTCAAATCCGTTGTTGCTGTTACGCCTCATCCTGTCGTGATCTTACGATGGAATGACTCACGCCTTCTGACGACCATAAGCTGCCAAGCACCCTTTCAATTTTCTTCACTATGTGCGCTCCAACCTTCGATGTGTCAAGTACTCGTGCGTGGGGGCCGTTATTCATGTACTGGTTTGATTGAACCTTGCCGTCTTTTTTGGGTGACGTTGATGTTTCTCTAATTTTTCCTCGACCGCCGAAAGGTTGACGGAAAACCGGGGGGCGAGCTGGGCGACACGGAACTGATCCACGGTATCGTCATCGACAAGGAGTTCTCTCACGCACAGGTGCACTTTTTTTTTTTAATCGTCTTGTTCATGTCGCATTTTCACCTCTATTTAGTAGTTCCGCAGGCGTGTTTTCTGCTATGGACATTTTTTTTTCGGCGTTATGTTCATGTCGCTTACGCACCGGTGCATTTTTGTGGTGGGAAGTTGTTTTTGGGCGTTTCATGTCGCGGATTCATCTCTATTTTATAGTTACGCACAGGGGCATTTTTGTTGTGGGAATTCTTTTTTCCGGCGTTGTGTCCGTGTCGCGTTGTCAGCTCTAGTTTCGGCGGTTCTTGCGGTACGTGTAGTTGTTTTGTCTCCCGCCATATTTGTCCTTGGCTTCGTGGGTGGGTGGAGAAGAAAAGGGAGATCGGCTGAAAGGGTGAAGGTACATGGTGCTCCCGTAAGAGTTTTTTGAGATTTTCGCAAAAGGATATTTCCCAGGATGTTGTCAACGCATTGCTGCTTAGGAACGCCCAAATTTCTGGAGAATCGTCTCTCTGTGCCCCAGGAGGGATATCCTTGTTCCACCACTGAAGTGAGAGTGTGATGTTTTTTGGTTCTTTTGACTGTGCTACTGCTTCTGCTGACGCTGCTGTGGACCTACAGTAGTTTCCTTAATTAACTAAAGCTGGAATATGATGGTTTTTCTGTATTCTGCTGGCTGCTGCTGCTGCAGCTGCAGGTGCTTTGGAACTATGTTCCATAACTCGATTAGGAATTGGATGATTTTGTTCTTTTGGTGTGCTACCGCTGCTGCTGCTGCTGCTGCTGTTGCGATTCATTCCTACATCAATTCCCGTTCCGCGTCGTGTCGCCAACCCACAACAGATGCCCAAGGTCGTGAAGGACGCGAAGCTGTGCCTCCTGACGTGTCCCTTCGAGCCGCCCAAGCCGAAGACGAAGCACAAGCTGGACATCACATCTAAGGACGCCTACGAGAAGCTGTTCGAGCGGGAACAGAAGTACTTCGCGGACATGGTGCAGCAGTGCAAGGACGTGGGAACCAACCTGGTGAGGTCAAGGAGTAGGGGAAGGGGTTGTTGAATAGACACCAATTTGGAGGAGCGGGTTGTTGAAATCACGAAAAGGAGGACGTGGGAACCGACCTGTTGAGAGGGGAGCATGGGGTTGTGTCGAAAATACGACAATAGAAGAGAGGAAGAGAGTGGACCGGCCTCGGTGACACTGCACCTAGACGCCGTACGGATACCCTGTATGTACACCGAAGGTGCATCCATCCTGATCATCTTGCCACGATTTTTCGCGCGCTTGTATATAGCACATGGAATTTTTTCTTTCATCGGTTTTGATGAGCGCTCACACACGCCGCACTATCTGCCGGCTCCCAATCTGTGGGCGGATGTTTTTGGTGAAAGGAGAAATTGCGGGCGATTTTCGCGACAGTTAATCTTCTCCTCAGATAGCATGGTAGGATCAAACAGTCATTGGCATCACGTCCCGCGGCTGCTGTACAAATGTATCCACTCCCTCTCTTTCTTCGAAGGTCTTGGCGTCTGATGCAATATTCATATAGGGGCTTTAACTATCCCATATGAACTCTATGCCACAATATTGTCTGTGGCATTCCATGCATTGACGTCTTGTCCAATCGCGTCACAACATCACAACAATGGTCAATCACGACAGGTGATCTGCCAGTGGGGCTTCGATGACGAAGCGAACCACTTGCTGCTCCAGAACCAACTGCCGGCCGTACGGTGGGTCGGGGGGGTGGAGCTGGAGCTCATCGCGATCGCCACGGGAGCTCGTATCGTGCCCCGATTCAGGTGTGATTTTAACTTTTTTTTCTTTTTTCGAACTTGTCTTTGTTGCTCACTCATTGTTGTCGTTGGTCATTGTTGTCGTTAATGTTGTTTATTGTTGCTGCGCGTGCAGCTTCTGTTGTTGTGCGCGGCGGTAGCGGAGGTGGCGGCGCAGTAGGTTCTCTCGTAAGGCAACTCTCGCGCGTATGCATTGCGATGTGTTAAGGGTGACCCTAGTGTGTCAACCGCTTCATAGCTGCTGCAGTGCGTCGGTTTTCTCTCGCTCTTGTGTTCCGACTGGCGTATATCTTCAGTACCCGGATGTCTCTACCCCCCCCCCGCTCCAAGCCCATCCCCCCCCCCCCCCGCTCCACCTTCCTCTGCTGCTGTTGCTTGCCCGCTTTCCTTGTTGTATTCTTCCTCCTTGCTTGTGTTTCAGCGAGCTGACGGGAGAGAAGCTGGGGAAGGCCGGCGCGGTCCGCGAGGTGTCCTTCGGCACCACCAAGGACCGCATGCTGGTCATCGAGGACTGCTCCAACTCGTCGGCGGTGACGGTGCTCGTGCGGGGGGGCAACAAGGTGCGGTCGGTATCTGCTCTGCTGTACCATCGTCGCGTGGCCGGGTGGCGGTGGTGGTGTCGATTGGTTTGTTTTGTTAGGTGTTGTACGCCTTTGGGTGTTGTAGGCCGACCTTGGATTTTTTTTTGCA